AGGTGGCAGGATGGTTCAGCTGGTAAGAGCATGTGCTCCTAATAACAAGGTTGCCGGTTCGACTCTCGCATGGGATGGTGGGCTATGCCCACCCGCAACTAAGATTGAACATGGCACCTTGAGCTGAGCAGCCGCCAGTTGCCAATGGGCGATCGGATGGTGACTGGACTTGGAGCTGAGCTAGCTGCACCCTCCACAACTAAGATTGAAGGACAACAACTTGGCTATCCCCCTTCCCCAATTCCCCAACACTGTTCCCCTTGCCCCAATTCCCCAATTAAAACCTTAAAAAACCCCCACAAAATCTCTTTTCAAATTCATCTGAAATCTACAAGATGTTCAGAATCTTGTAAGCAAAGTCCAAACAAGTGGTGTCATCCTGTAGAAGCCCAGAGGACGCAGTCTTTGCTCTGACACTGACGGCCAGGCCAGTTTCACAGTGTCTTCCATTGTAAATAGAAGAAGTCTGGGTCTTCAAACCCAGCCTCACTACTTTCAGACTCAGGTCAATTTTAAAGAGAAGGAAGTAAGATTCAGGATGTGAAGTGGTTTACCTTATCTTTCAAATGATGTTACCCACCTATAAGGTGGTGATAAAAATCAGAGGAGGGAATAAATGTATAAGGTCCAGGGGAGTGCCCGGCCTGTAATTGATACTTAAGAAGATAACCATAAATGTATGGAATTGGGATGTTATAAACAGACGTCACAGTTCCAGGGGAGCAACTGACAGTCTTTGGCGCTTCATGGTGTCACAGACTGAGAGCCCCTGCCCCACACCCTGCTCTTAGGGACCAGCACAAGGACGAAGGTAGAAGGTGGCAAGGTGCATCTATTGAGTGCTTACTGGATGCTGGGTACTGTCCTACGTGCACTGCACAAGTTACTGGACATTTGATTCTCACAGCAGACCTGTGAGGCGGGTCCTAGTTTACAGATGAGAGAGCTGAGATGAAGCCACTGGCCATTGCCACACACCTAGTAACTAACGGAGCTGAACTCTACACCGGCCTTTGTGTAATCCCACAGCCTGATTTTTCTCCACTGGATTAATACATGGGAGTTTGAGGAGACAAGCCGCCTAAGTATGTCTGCTTAATTTCTGTTATTGTCCTACAATAGTTGAGCGCACATACGCGTGGATGCATGTGTGTGTGCGCACGAGCGCGCGCGTGTGCATGCATATATAGGGGCATGAGTGTGGGACTCCAGTGAGACGGAGGCCCTGGGGGAGGGCCTGGGCAGGGCTGGCTGGGAAGATTCAAAAGGAATCCTTTGGCCCTGTTGTCTCAGGCCCGTAGGTGGCACTCTGACACCGTCTGCTGGAGGCACAGCTGCAGCTGACGAAGCCACCAGGGCACCCTAGTCCCCAGAGTGAGTCTGGCCCTGGAGCTTGTCACTACATACACAACCCCCCCTGGAGATACCAGCTCCCTCCCACTCAGCCTGTGCCACGTGTGAGCATCAGGCGGGCCACGGGCTGTCTTAAAACTCTCGGTTTGTCCAGTGCTTGTCGGGTGCCCTGGAAGGCTGGAATCTGGGAAGCTGGGAGGGTCCTGGGGAAGAGGACCCCAGCTTTGCGGACACCAGGGAGGCAGCCCGAGGGGCTCAGCTCACCAGGAAACCAGGAAAACCTCCAGGGGAAATGGTGGGGCTCTGAGATCATACAGCCCTGGGTCCTATCCTAACCCTGCTGCTTACAAGCTTTGGGACATTGAGTCAAGCCTGTTCAACAATCTGAGGCCCAGTTTCCACATTAATGAGTCCCTTTTCAAAGGTTTGCTGGGAGTGTTTAAAAAGAGAAGATAAGTAAAATGTCAAGCAGATTGCTTGGCACATAGTTCATACTCTATAGATGTTAGTAGGGATAACACGTTCTAGGTGGTTCTGCGTGAGGTAGGGGAGAAAAGGATTGCTCTGGAATTAGCCTGGATTTCTGGGGAGGACAGATGGGGGAGCTGGGATCTCCATCCCCTTGCTGGCTGACAGCCTGTCAACAGTGCGGTTGGCTTGGCAGCATGTAGGCCGTTTAATCTCCCATCCCTGCATCCTTTTCAAGCTGGAACCAGCACTTTCAGGGCTGGCTGTCCTGAGAGCAGAGTTGGGGCGGGGGGAGGATAGGTTCTAAAAATCCCCTTGGAAGGGAAGCCAGGAGACAGGGTTTAACGGATGCTTTACTTGGACGCACTAAACTCTCTGAGACTTAATTTCCCCACGTTTAACGAAGAAAATACAAATACTATATTTCCTCCTTATCTCAGAGGATCACTACCAACACTTTATGGGGTCCTCTGTGATTGGCACGCGCATGGTAAACTGGGCAGCCCCCACCAGTAGCACACAAGTGTTACTGGCACATGCCACTCTGGGGTACCCTGTGAGATGGAGTTGTCCAGGCTGCCCCTGGAGAAGGGACGGGCAGCAGGGCACAGGGCCGCTCCCTGGGCCATGAGTGTTGGGGACGGGGCGTCCGTCTTACCTTGTAGCCATAGGGGCAGGCGCAGTGGTACAGCTCCACAGGGTCCTGGCTACATGTCCCATTGTTCTTGCATGGGCTGGAGAGGCAGGCATTGCACTTGGCCACGATGTTGATGTCCACTGGCCCTGGACAGCAAAACCACTGAGTGTTAGTGGCAGGTCCCCAAGAGGGCTCACTGTCACGCCTCCCTTCCCCTCTGCTCTGGCCCCTTCCCCAGCCAGCTGGCAGCCCCTGCCCGTGTCTGTGCACAGAGGGCAGCTGGCCCTCCCCGGCCAGCACATCCAGTTCAGCTAGAGTCCCATTAATTCAGCCATTGTCCAGAGAGGAAAAAAAAAATCACAGTGGGACATCATTCAGAAGCACTTCTGCAGTCAAATCAATTACTGTAATTAGCCTGATCCGATTTTGGTACTAATCTGCAAACAATACACCGCAATTAGAAACCCCTTGTGTTATCTTTTTTTTGTCCCGGAAGCTCTGGGCCCAGGCTCCATTTGGACCTCCCATTCCGCTGTCCCAAACACCCCTCCCCGTGGAATAGCCTGTGCCAGGCAGAGGAGGACACGGCGCCTGGGCCAAAGGACATAAGAAAGTAACAGGAGGAAATCAGAAATGGCCCCGGGGGACACAGTAATGTGCTGATGACAGGTGGCGAGCTGTGCTCAGGTACGTTTTGCATCCATGACATTTCACCTGTTCTCTTCAGCTGTCAGGGCTGGAGGAGGGACAGAGCTTTGCTGTAGCAGCTTTGACAATAAGCCCTGGATAAGCACGTCCTACTTAATGTCAGAACTTTAGATGAACCCATGATGAGAGTCATCAGTTTGGAGGCTGGGTTGAGACTGAGCCCAGCACGCGTGCGGCCAGTTTTGGGGCTGGGTGAACAGAAAGGCCGTAATGAGAACCTATACCAGGGGCTTAACCCCAGCTTCACATTAGAATAGGGAGATGATCTGTCCCAGGGAGACTGTGTCCCAAGCACCCAAGCACACAGTGACATTTTAGAGGGTAATTAAAGTATATCTGTAAAAAACAAGCAAACCACTTAAGCAAAGGATATTGATCAACAAATGTGTAATGCAAATGGAAAAAAATTCAGTTTCCCCAATAATCAAAGAAAGACAAACATATAAGGAGATGCAATTGTTTAATCTATTGAGTTAGCAATGCTTAAAAAATGAGGTAAAATAATGCAAGAGTGAAAAATGGTGCTCTCAGATGGTGCTACTGGGCGCGTAAAACGGTTACAACCCTTTTAAAAAATCAGTTTGGCGATAAGTGTGAAGACTTTAAAGATCATCATATACTTTGGCTCAGTAACTCCTGTTCTCTGAATCTTACCTAAGGACATAATTTTAAATGGAAAAGGACCTTTATGCATCAATGGTAAGGAAAAAATTGGAAATACTCCATAGGTTCAAAACTAGGAACTGGTTAAAATTACGGTGGGATATTACAGCTTGGTGGTCAAGTGTGAGAGCTCCAGAATCAGAAAGACCTAGAATCTTCCTATGTGTGGTCTTGAGAAGTCATTTAATCTTGGTCAGCCTCAGTCTTTTCGTTTTTAAAAAAATGAGGGTGATACTAGTGTGTACCTCAGAGAGGTGCTGGAGAATTAAATAAATTAATACGTGGAAAGTGAATATTCAATGAAACAACGCCTGACAAAGTGCTTAACGTAATGTCTGCCACATGAGAAGTAGGGGTTTGTTACCATAGAAATGACGCAGTCAATCAAAGTCACATGTGCCAAAAGTTTGCTGCAGTAACAATGGGACGATAATGCTTACATTTTAAAAATGTTGGATAAAAAAAATGCAGGTTAAAGATTTTCTCAACTATGTGAAAGTATTTAGAGGAAGAAGTCAGGGAGGGCTAGGTAGAAATGTCAGCAGAGGGCCTTGTGGGAGAGAATGACAAAGGGACCCTTAGATGCTGGTCCACATCAATTTCAGCATCTGAGTCTCTTTGTGTGACCCGTGGAAGAGACAGATCAACAGTTTTAGGAGTCACATCTGTTGAGACACCCAGCTCTGACAGGCTGTTGGAGGCAGAGCAGACCCTGAGAGAGGCAGAGGGGGTGGAGGGGAGGGCAGCACCCACCTTTGCACTGGAATCGGTGGGTGGGGGTGGTGAGCAGAAGTCTGTCCGCCATGGGCTCGGGGCTGCTGCAGCGGGCGATGCCAGGCTCCTTGTACCCCGCCTTCACCCACTCCGACAGCCAGCGCAGGTTGCAGTCACAGTGCAGCGGGTTGGTTCCCAGCGCCCTAGGAGGCAGAGCAGGAAGTCAGGCCCCCCACCTAGCTTGACCTGTACACTCCATATCTGTGGCCCTCTGTAAAAGGACGATTTTCCGACTTTGGCTAGATTGGGGGCGTCTGGCATGAGGACAAGTTGACTCCAGATGGCACCTCCATCCCTGCTGATGTTTCAACCTCACCCAAGCCCCTCCCACCTTGGAGGCTTTGCTCTCGCCTACCCTGGTGAGACTCAATCCTCAACTCAATCTCAATCCCGGCACCTCTAAGGAAGCTTCTGGGCCTCTGGCCATCTCATTATCTAGCTCTCTGGCCCTACTGAAGGGTCCACTGGAGGATGTACTCTGCAGAGAAGGTTTTGAGACCCAGCAACCTGGGAAGCAGCTTCAGGCCACTGACGGGGCTCAGAACACGCCGCCCTCAAATACGTTGCTTTGGCGTTTGATGATTTTGAGTTGAAGGCACGTGAGAAATAGCAGCTGCAGGGCGGGCTCTCTGATCCCCCCTTTCTACCTAAAAGCAGGTCATATCTCCCCCGAGAAAGGTGCTCTCTGTGCGCCAGCACAGGAAGGACCTTCTATCACCAGAGACGGGGAGTCTGTGTTGAAATGGACCTGTACAAACAGACCTACTCAACAACCCTGATCTTCCACGGGGTTCCTCCGTGTACTTTCGAGTCACTGTCCCACAATTTATGGCCCCTGGCCCAAGCCCCTCTGTCTTGTCATGTCCCTACAATTCATCATTCTCTGTGTCAAAAGCTGTGAGCTTTGGGGCCAATGGCTTCTTCGGGTCTTCATTTTCCTTTTGAAAACTTCCGTGTACCCATAAAAATATTAAATAAATTTGTATGCTTTTTTCCTGTTAACCTGCCTCATGGCAGAATAACTCTTAGGCCAGCCACCAAGCAGAAGAAGGGATCAGGAAGCGTTTGTTCCCCGACACCACTCAGCTTGAAATCGCGGGAGTGGGGTGGCACTGTCCAGTGCTGACCTCTCCAAAGTGGTGTCCAGGAAGACAACACTAGAGCCTCTGTTTTTTTTTTAAAAATCATATCCTTCAACGTTTCTATTTTGAATGCTTTATAATAGGCATACATGTCAGCATAGGCATGCAATATGAAAATAATGAAATACATACAGAGTAGGTTACAAATGCAAACATTTTCCCTGGCAGAGGGGTGCCTGAATGCCTGGGTGATGAGGTAAAGAATACGTGCTTGGGAGTCCAGGCAAACCTGGACTTAACCTGGAGCTGGGCCACTACTAGCTGTGCAGCCCTTGGACAAATTCGTTGCAGTGTGCAATGAGGGGATATGAATGCCTATTGCTGTAAGAAATGTGAGACAATTCATGGAAAGCAGCGAGCGCACAGTAAGAGTTTCGTGTTAGCTCTTATTCGATATGTGATTACACGGTGTACATAATTGATGGTGCGTCTGAAGCCATCTGAGGCAGGGAACTCACAGTGTGCCGACTTGGGGGCCTGGCTGCAAAATGTTCCGCGTGCAGAGAACTCCCTGTGCAACAGTGACAGGGACGCTGTGATGTGTGGCGCTGTAATGACGTTCCGTTTAGCTGGGGAGAGAAACGTGGCTACTTACAGGTGGGACAGAGATGCCAGGTCGCTGAAGGAGCCTTCGGGAACGCTGGAAATGTCATTGCCATGGAGGGTTCTGAAGGGGAAGCACAGGTCAGGGGTTAACACCCAGGAATGGGTCTGAACTCAGGACACTCCCGTGGTGTCCCAGGCTGGCCCAGGTCCCCGTCCGTCTCCCTCAAGCCCCAGTGTTCGCAGCAGCAGGTGCCACCTCCTTTGTGGCAGATGTGTGAATGTTTCCCAGCCAGGGACAGCAGGGACGTTGGGGGTTAGAGGGTTTGGAAAGAAGAAGATGGGATTTTGATTCAAACAGCCTGGGATAGCATCAGAGGTCAGGTCCTTTTAGTTGTGGAACAGTAGGTAAGTTCCTTTCCTTTCTGGGCCTCCGTTTTTGCACCTGAGATATGGAGAGGTAAAGTTACGTCATGGAGGCCCTGGAGTGTCAGAGAGAACGTGAAGAACTGTGGCTGAGACCCTAATTTCTGGAGCCAGGCTGCTGGCATGCAAACCCTGATTCTGCCACTTTACCAGCTGCGGGCAAAGTTATTACCCTCTCTGTGCCCTGGTTTCCTATTGTGAGACGGGAACAAAAGTAAAAAGATTTGCCACGGAAGGTGGTCGTGAGTGCATTAATCCATGTGGCGTCTGTCATTTTCTAGGGGCTAAATAATTAACCATTATTGGTATTTGTGAAAGGGTTTTTAAAAATGTCTGGTATAGCTCAAGAAACTGGTTTCCTTTTTATTCACCTGGAGAGATTTTAGGGGGCTTGAGAAATGCTATCAATCCCAACTCAGGTACAGAGGAAGCAGAGCACTCAGCTCCTGTGGAGGTTGCCTGCAAGCCTGACACCAGAGGTTTTGGTGTCAGCCACACACATATATGGGTCTGGCGCTTGTGTGCACCAGCGGGCATCTTCCTACTGCATGTCCAAGGGGCCAGGCAGCCTGTCTGGTATCAATCTGTCCACCCTGCGGTGTAGTAGCTAGGAGCTATTCTCACCTGCAGAGTGGTGGCGTATACTGAGCTTTCAATAAGTCCCTGGAGACTAGGTTCAGGGGAAAAAGAATGAATGAACATTGCTTCGCTGCTCAAGTCACAACACGAGCAAATCCACAATGCCTGGATTATACCCTCCACTGAAGGCTTAGTCATCAACCAAATACAAAACCCCCACCAAACTGATGACTCACTTTGGGGCTGGCCTATGAAATGCAAGGTGGGTGAAATTCATAGACACTCAAAGGCGTCTTTAGTGACTGCTGGGCACCCACCCCTGTGCTGTGAAGGGAGCTCTAGTAAGACAAAGGGGCAATTAGCACTGACCATGGACCTGGAAACAGGGTAACAGCTCATGAATCTGCTCTTTTGTTTTCCTGGTAACTGACGTTAGCCTGCCCTGGGTCTTCGCTGACATATAGACATGAGCTTAAAATACTTAATAAAGAACAAAGGCCCTCAAATTGAGCATTGGTGCTAAGACACCTGCAGGTTTCTGAGCCGGGTCCCACAGATTCTGATTTAGAGGGTCTGGGGTGGGGCCTTGAGACCCCGAGTTTCTAACAAGCTCCCAGGCAATGCTGACGCTCCTGGTCCTCTGAGCCACATTTAGTTGCTTAAATTGTCATCCCTAAATTGCCATCCTCATCACCCTGAGCCCCTCCCCTTCCCCCTCCCCAGGAAAGCAGGAAGAGGGTGACCAGGCCTCTAAAGAGTGTTCAGGTAGCTTCTCGCCTCCCTGGGTAAGGGGCAAGGAGCTTCCTATCCCTCTTATCAGTACCATTTAATCTCTAATTCATGTGGTTATTTATGAATCGCACTGGCCCCTGCCTGCTATTAGCTTAGATGACTTCATGGCTGCTTGCTGTTTGGCAAATGCACCCAGCCTCGCTGTTAATCATTTCCGAACAAGGCCTGGGCCCCTGGAGAGGCTCGAAACCCTAATTTAAAAACACCAAATGACCAGAGGCAGCTTTGGCGCTGTGACTCCTGTAAGTCACAGTCCCATTTATTCTGGATGGAGCGGCTGAGATCTCTATAATCTGCAGAGTAATGGGGCTATAATTTACTGGGACAACAACACTAAAGAAACCTGCCTACACTGCAGGTTCCCGCTCCGGGTCTGGCCCCGAAGAGGGACTCTCGCATGTCCAACCACCACCATAAATGGGAAAACGTGGCCTCCCAGGGAGCGGTTAGCACTCTCTGCTGCTCCCACATGCCTCAGACAAGCAACTCTGAACTCCCAAAGACTCATCCTTAGGCACCTGGGACTCCATTTTCCCTCCTGACTCTTGGGGGTGTTAAAGGCAAACTTGGGAATTTCGGGGTGTAGATGAGGCTACCATCAGAGCAGGGTGAGGACATAGCCATCCCGTGTCAGTCCCAGGCTGCCTGAGCCTTGGGTCTCTGAGTCCCCTGGCACTCTGTATGACAGATGTCAGGGACGGGCCTCATCCTCCATGTGGGGTGGGGCTGAGGGGACGGATTCTCTCCTGCGCAGGCTGGGCCCCTCCCCAGTGCCTGGGGTTAAGAGCTGGAGTCAGGAGGCCTGGGTGTGTGAGCTGAGACAGTCTTTCTGTGTCTCGGTTCTGTCATTTCTAAAACGGAGGAATTCTCAGTATAGTAGAAATCTTTTGGGAGGTGTGGGCTGCTCGGCTTCAGTCTCCTCTTTTCTGTAACAGTTCCTCCCTTTTCCAATGGGGAACCACCCCTACCCCCACTCTTAGTCCAAGTGGTTTGGCCTCCTGGGCAGACGGTGGCCCAGGTCTGCCCAGTTGAAGCCACAGTGAGTGGTGGTCTGAGGTTGCGTGTGTGACCTAAGCGGGCCAACGAGAGACACTTCTGGTGCTTTCTATGGGGCTGCGAGGACAGAGGCAGGAAGGGGCACATTTCCGACAGCCAGCTCAGGGCCCAGTGTGCACTGCTGAACTTCCCAGTCAACCTGAGCTGCTAAATCCTCTTTTCACGCTCAAGGTGGTCTGAGCTGATTTTCTCACCCTTGAGTCAGGAAGGCAGTTAATACACCGCTTCATAAGCGAGCTGTGAGGACTGAGACACAATGCCAGTGGTCCAGATGGTGTTGGCCTTGACCCAGGGCCTGCCCGTGATAAGTGCTCGCTCACACCAGCTATGATGGCTGTCAGCACTGCCACAGCTCCGCCCCCTCTATGCTCACGGACAGATTTTGGGGCCAGTCTGCTCCAAGCATTACCCACCTACAGCAGAAGCCTGAAGGTATGTGGCCTGCAGGTGTCAAAGGCGGTAGTGAGCCCGTGACAGGACCCCAGGACTGGAGAGGACACACCCCGAGTTTTGGCAGCGTGGTCCTGTGCCCCTCAGCTTTCTCCTGTGTTTTTCATTCCACCTCGCTCTCTCTTTTTTTTTTTTTTTAGCTGAGCCATCCTGCCACCTGTTGACAGCTCAGCGGCAGCTCAGCTCGGGCTGGGACTCGAACTGCTGTTGCTCAGAGCTTTACTATCTACAGGTTGGGTCACTCTGGGGAAGCTACTCCATCTCTCTAAGGCTCTGTGTCCTCATCTATGGAATGAGGACAACAGTGGTGCATTCTTCATAGGGTTGATGTGAAGAGTGAATGTGACACTGTAACCGCAGCATTGAGCCCCATATGTATATGGTACGTTGTGAAGGTTTGGTAAACATCAGCGGTGGTCACTATCTTCCCTTCAGAAAGACTTTGTGACGGCCAAAGTCAGTTTCCTGTCCTCTCACATGTACCCCCCCGTGGCTCGCTCACTCGCTTGCTCACAGGTAACCCCAGTACTGCACTCACTAATTTCCTGGTCCATTTCCTCTTCTAGACCACCAGCTTCCTGAGGCAGGAGCGGTGTTTCATTCACTGCTTTTTTTCCCCCCTCAGCATTTATTTAGCACAGTGTTTAACTCACAGTAGGCTTTCAGGAGAGGATGCATGGGCAAGCGAATGCTCTTGAGCAAGTCAATAAACCTTTCTGAGTCTCTCTTCTTATAAATGAGAGATTTGGACAGGATAATTTCTAAGACTGACTCCCCAGTCCTAAAATTCACAATTAACTTTTTTTTTTTGGGGGGGGGAGGGACACCAGAGGGCCAAACCAGGACCATGGTTTGGAAGTCAAAAGGAGTCCCTTTTTGGCTCCCCAGAATTATCTAATGTTCAACAGCTGGTCAAAAGTGGAATGGGGTTGTCTGGAAAGGGAGTAAGCTCCCGGTCTCCAGCGGTAATCAAGCAAAGGGCAAACAGAGCCTTCGCAGGGATGTCCTAGGGAGAATCTGAGCAGTCCGCAGCGCGTGACAATGAACAGCCCCCTGTGCATAAACAGCGAAGACCATCTTACTCCTGGGACCAGGAGCTAAAAATACCGAGGAGGCCGGTGAATGCTAACCCACTCTCTCCCTCGCAGCACATGCAGTCTCAGCCCTCCCTGCGCTAACTCATTCCAGGTGGCTCCCCTGCCGCTGGGGCTGGGAAGTGACAGTCGGGACCACACACGCACCAGGCATGCGGCTCGGCTCAGCATGGGGCAAAGATCAGGGAGCACGCAGATCCCCGAAGAAGAACAAGAATGCCCATGCCAATGTTCTCATCTGGCTATTTTTAGATTCGGAGCGAGGCAGGAAAAGCATATTTTCACCCGGTGTTTTGTGCTCAGGGCTCCCTGACCACCCTCTTGTCATGTTCTCTGAAATGTATTCATGTCTACCGCCTCTCTCTCTCTCTCTCTCTCTCTCTCTCTCAAATGGCAGGTATCTCCTCTGCTTGCTTTCCAGATCACTTTTTGGCCTCAGTCTGTGCGGGACCTTGCAGCTCCTCTCCCTCCCACCCCCCAAAACTGCCAGCACCCCTGAGTCTCTGGTCATTTCTGAAATTTAAGCCAAACGATGAAACCCTTTAGAAATGAGAAACGAATACACAAATGCTTAAATGCAGTCACAGATATTACAATTCCCAATTGCAAAAAACACCCCTTTCCCCCCCCAACTCCCTAAATCGGATATGTTAGTCTTCATTTTGTTTAACTTCACCTTATTACAGAAAGGACATAACACTAGCAGTTAGCCATCAGTGCTTTTTTCATTTGTCTGTGTCCCTTACAGTCATAAAAGCTTACCAGTTATAACTGTAACATATGTACAGATTAAGTTTATTTTTCCCTGTAACGCTATGCGGCAAACGCTTTGCCACACTGCTCGCTCGTTTTCCTCTTTACCTCCTGCAATCGCTGCACTTCATTGACGGGTTGCATCACGCTTTCCTTCAACATTTCCCCACCGCGGCACTTGCAGGCACTATTTAAAATTTAGGTTAAAAATAACAGTGCCACCAAGATCTTAAATGCACGGAACCTTTCCCTCATTCTGGATTATTCTCTAGCATAGATTCCTAGAGGTGCAGTTACTGGGGGAAAGGATACAAATATCATAAAAGAAATGTAGCCCATGAACATTTTTATTTTTCCTGAATTAGCCCTTACGCAGGAGATGGCTGCTCCCCGCTGAGGCAGATGGTTGGGATGAGGCCCCTAAGACTCCTTTTTACCTACGAGGTCCCATGATTCTAAAGTCACGATGCTAAAAACCTACTAGCTCTTAATTCAAGAAGCAGGCACAGCGTGTTCTCTGTTTATATGTACTCCTGATGCAAGTAATGATAGGGTGGGTCTGGAGTGGGACGCACGAGGTGCTGATGCCCACCCTACCACCCAGGCAGACAGACAGATGGACAGACAAGCATTCCCTTTCTCTCCGTCATGTGTTGAGCTGTCCCACCCAGAACAACTCTAATTATGAACATATGCACAGCAATCCCATGAAAATTGGCAGGTCACACGCGCTGGCAGTGAACCTATGTACAGAACTGGAAGACCGGGGTGGGAGACAATAGGTTGGTATTGAGGGGGGGCGGTGTGGGGTGGGAGGGGGAGCAGGTCCAGCCTCAGCCCTGGCCAATGAGACGAGCCCGTCTCCAGCTGGAGAGAGGGGAGTGGTTCTGCTGATGTTCCCCTTCTTCCACTCCCCAGAGAAGGTGGGTAATAAACAAGTGACAATAATAGATTGCACACTGTCAGCGTGGGCACTTCTTTGCCCCCAGAGAATTGATATTTAATAACGACGCAGATGACATGTGGCGGCGTTGTCGCTGACACTGGTGTCTCGTGGGTCTCGATAAATCACATCAGGCTGGAGGCTCCAAAACAGACCAGCTCTTTGGGTGCGAGTCGGGAGGCTGGACTCTGCACCATCCTGGCTGCTGGACCTGGGGCCAGTTCCTTCACCAACCTGGGCCTCAGTTTCCCCACCTTAAAAATGGGCATAACCCTCTCAACCTCACAGCACTGTTGCAAAGGGTGCTGTGAGGCAATGGCCATGAATAGCCCCCGTGCTCCCCAAATATGGTTATCGCCATTATAGTAATAATGGGCCAGAAAGGTAAGAAGTTGATAGATTTGGGGGCAGAGTGTCTGGCACCTCGGCTGCCATGGGAGTACCATTCTAAGGATCCTCCTTGGCCAATAAAATGGGGCCCAGACAGGAAGGTACAAACATCAGGTGACAATCAGGCCTAGGGTTCGGGGTGGCAGTGAGGTGCCAGCCTGCTCCTGAAGTGCTAATGTGGTAGCACTAACAAGTGGATATTTACAAAGTGTCTACTGTGGGCCAGAGCCCTGCTATGTGCTTTATATAAAGTATCTCAGTTAATTCTCACAAGAGCCTGAGGGGCAATTAGCATGATTGTCTGATTTTATGGATGAGAGGACACATAGCTGGGGCGGGGCAGAGCTGTGCTTGGAGGGCAGGTGACTCCATCTGCCTCAGTGGGCTGACCCCCATCCAGGTGGAGGGCAGGCCAGGCAGGTGTCATAAGGTGGCCGGGGAGGGGCGGGTGTGGGGGCTGCAGACGGTGTAACCCCGTTCCCCGGGGAGGGCTGCTCAGCCAGGCGGGAATGCAGAGGGGGGCCCTGGAATGGCCAGACCTCTCCATTTTCCAAGACAGCACAGAAATCAGGGTTTGTATGAGAAACCTCCTGATATTTAAATGTTGGTGACTTATTAAAACTTTGTTTTTTAGAAAAGACACTCTATGAGCAGACTCTACAATTGCTAACTAATAGCTGTCTGTGAGCTAGACTGGCCCTGGGCCGCCAGCCTGGGGTCTCTGGTGTACGAGCTGGTTTCCTTACAGAGGCTCACAGTGCTAGCATGGCCCCTCCGAAGCCAGAGGGACCAACTGTGAAATAACGGTCATCAAAACGGCCGCTATGTGCTGCACAGCAGGCTCTGTCACTGTGCAGAGTAGGACTGCATATCCTACGCCTCTCAAGGGATGTGCTACCGATCCCATCTTCCATGTAAAGAAGTAGAAACTCGGAGGGGTTAGTGATTTGCTCAAGGTTCCACAGTGGTAGTGGGCTAGCTCTCAAGCGTATGATCTTTCTGCCCCACTGAGCAAATAAAGGTGCTGTGTGGGGAGGAATGTATTGGGGGGAGGGAGTGGGTGTTGAGCAAAGGAGAGTGGGGACCAGGAGTGCCCAGTACTGTCTGCTGTTACCCAGCGTGAGGCGCGAGGGCCCTGGGTACTCACAGCACTCGGAGGGACCGCAGCCCCTTGAAGGCGTGCACGGGGAGGCACCGCAGCCGGTTGTAGCTCAGGATCCTGGGGAGAAGGACATGGTGCTGTCAGCTCCTCTCAGTCCATGCAAAGGGCTTATTGTCCCCATTTTAATATATTGACAAAAAGCACCCCGACAATAACGGAAAGAGACACATCTCCCACCGCCCCAGGAAGCGCACTGGCTCCGTTTTTCCACTTCCCTCCCACGTTCCCTAGCAGGCTGATTGCCTAACCAGCTTTGCCATCACCTCCCTATTGTCAAATGGTGAGTGCTCACAACATGCAGAGCTGATGGGAAATAAATGATCTGAACAAAATAGAATTGCGTAGGGAGACCCTCCACTGGGGAAAATATTCACAAAGCACAGAGGCATTCATTCCAAAGAGGGCTTTCTTCAGGAGTAATTAGGCGCCGGTTGCTCTCTAACTGCCCAGGCAGTGGAGTTCAGAGCTACTTTATTTTTCTCTTGATGATTAAGGTCTGCCCTGTGCAGGGGCAGCCACAGCTTTGAGATGACTACAGCAGAGGACCTAGGCCTGAGGGGACGGGGGAAAGGACGGCACACGCCACTCGGTGTACTCACAGGGTGGAGAGGTGAGACATGTTACTGAAGGTGTAATTGGTCAGCACGCCGATGCTGTTGTTGCTCAGGTCACTAGGAAAAGTAAAACAAAAGGGTCACACTTTACTCTTAGGTGTATTCGAAGGGGTCATTCCCAACGTTCACACATGCCATCCATCCTTCCATCCATCATCCATCATCCATCCATCCTTCCATCCATC